ATTTTAAAATGCTGAAAATTTAAGTCGCACTTAATTGAAGTAGTTTTGAGACAAGATAAAAATTTATTGAAAAAAGTTTTTTTTCCTGCTTTTTTTCATTTTCTAAATAAACATTAGGATGAAGAAGGATGCATTAGAATGACTTGAGACTTACGCTAGACTTATCTAATCTAGACATTCCCCCCTCTTATTTCCCGTCTGTGACGAATTGTGTGTTTAGTCCTACTTTTGAAATTGAATAGCTTTGTGTACAAACTCAGCAATTTTTCTTAATTAAATTGCATTGGAAATTGTTTACAAATAAATTTATACATACACTTATTTACTTAAAAAAGTAGCGAGAAATCAGTTTTAGGCCTTTTTTTTATCTTCTTATTGTGTTAGCGGAAAAAAATAGTTTTTTTTTTAATTGCATTGCAAATTTAATAGGTAATAGACGAAGCTTCTTAAAATGAATTTAAATTTCATAAAGATTGCACAAACCCTGTTACTTTTTACACCATTGTAATATAATACTTATGGTTGGGCGTTAATGGGTTAAATTTTATTGAGATGGCATATGCAATTGAACCGTTAAAACTTAACTGCTTGTTGCTTGTGCTTAAAGTTGTTAAAACTGACCAACTAAATTCTTAAAAAGGAAATGAACTTAAAAGTTTTAAAATTTCCAGCAGCCACCACTTTTAAATATTTCCATAATGTGGCCAGCAAAAAAACCGGAAAATTACTTTTCCAAAAAAGCTGATTCAAATGAAGAAATTTTGCTATTATTTGTTCATTTTTCAAGAAACATGAAAATATTTTTAAAAAGGACTTATTATTATTTGGCAATAAACATTTTGGCATTTGAACATATAAATAATACTGGGAGAGCAATTTTTTCTCTTATTTGCATGATATTTTTTTAAAACAGATCTTAAATAATTTCGTATCGCTGATTTCAAATCTGAAATCGATTTTTTTTTTAAATAACATTAATTACAAGCAAATCCATGCCCGGAAATGACGTCTTACGCCTTTAGGGGAGCTTCCCTGCTACGAACTATTTATTCGTGCGCTTCTAAAGAGGTCCTGATAGAGAAGCGCGCCTAGCCACATTTTTGGGTATGGGTTCCGTAGCAATTTTAATTCCAATGAGGTGAACTGGGTTCGAATCCCAGGGATAGCTGGTCGATTTGAATCCGCTTTCGGCTTGCACCGACCATAGTGCTGGCCTGAAATATTCTCAGTGGTAGACGGATGATGGGTTAGAGTCCCCTTGCCATCTGGCTAACCGTGGGAGGCTCTCGTGGTCTTCCTCTCCATGTAACGCAAATGTGGATTAGTTCCATCAAAAAGTCCTCCACGATGGCAAATTTCTTCCAATACTGGATCCAGGAGTTCCCTTTTCTTGTGGATTGGATTCAAAATTACAAGACTACGGAGTTGAACATTAGTAGTTGTAAACCCAAACAAATGGGTTGGCTGTTCAACGACGATTATAAAATATATAATTATGCTCCTTAACTGCCTTTAAAGTTTATCGCATTATTAACGCGACCCTCTGTTATACATAAGGTTTTTAAATTTTTGCATTTCGACAAAAAATAAACTAAAAATGTTATTTTAAAAATTAACTGTATCTTTAGGAGCAAAACTATTTTCTATTTAGAAATCCCCTCACCTGAATACAACAAAAATTTTGTTCCTCTGTATAATTAAATGATTTAATTTTTTTTTAAGGTAGAGTTTTACTCATTTATTTTACCCTTTAAAGACAGGACTTTTTTACACAATCGCAATATTGCGGGCATACGGTCTATTGCTGTACTTTATAAAACTAAGTACATTAGTGCATATAAATTAATGACTATTCTTTTTTCTTTTAGAATTTAGTGTATCTTTTAGAAGAAAGAGTAGAATATTATTTCTCTGCAATTAGAAATTTTAAAACAGTTAATCATATAGTTTCAGCGGATCATGTTCACCAAAAATCAAAGTTTTAGTTTTTTTTTAATGAGGTAGTGTCACACATTTTCATCTTATTTTTAAAATTTATAATTATTAGTGTTATTTAATTTTAGTTTTTATAGATGTTGAGCATTATAAATAATTAAATAAATTGTCTCAAAAAATAATTTCTATTACATTAATCACATGAAACGTGTTAATTTTGAAAACGATTTTAAGGTTCAAGTTTTATCTATTTTTTGTATAATTTATTAAAGGTAATAAACAAAAGAGGAGGATTTTGTAAGTTAGGCAGAATTTTGATAGTTGGCTATTTTTTTCTGTCAGAAAATTGAAATTTTTTGCTAACTACGCATCGATATGTACGATATTACACATCGATATATACGATTAACACATCGATATTTTGATCGATTTATTTTATCGCATTAAAAAAAAAAAAAAAAAAAACAGATAGTAGCAGTTGGGATTACATTTTTTCACCTTTTTATATTTCTTTTAGAATTAAGTTTCTTTAGAATTAAGTACGTTGGAAAAGTTGAAAGTGGAACGCATAATCTTTTTTCCCCTAAGAGTGTTGGAATTTTTCCCTAAAAATGTTTGGCCATCCGTGGAAGCCACATTCTGGAAAAATTTAAAAAGTGGTGACAAATATTTGAATGAGGTTATCATAAATTATATAGGTTGTATTTTACGTCAATTTTAAGAATTCAGATGGCCAATTGTAACATATATATTTAATTTACATAAATGTTTGAACCGTGTTTCGTTTTCTCAATTTTTTTTCTACAAATTTTTACTTTTTTCCTGACAGTCTCAACCCTGCCACCTCTTAATAAATTATTAAAAGCTTTTAATTATAAAACCTTTTTTTTAATTTTAAAAATTCGTGTTTTTGAGTAAGTTTTTTTCAATCCAGGGCTGTCAACTACATAACTTTTAGAAAACTATTTTAGACAAAGGTGAAAAGCGTAGAAAGTAGGCAGCGATGTTAATAACAATTAATTCAAAGTAAGAGTCTGAAACTGTGCTTTGTTTGATCACAGTTTATTAAAAATATCCTAAATATAATATAAAATTAGCTTAATGTTTCAGTTTTAAGTGCCTCTCATTGTTTGTTATTAAAACAAATATCATAAAAAAAGGTTCAAATTAGCAAGAATGCAATGGGAAAAAAAGAATCTAGAATGTCATAAGTTCAAAATTTTATTCTTCAGTTATGTTTTGCTCTACATTATTCATAATTTTGTTCTGCGTATTAAATTTCATCATTCTGATTAATTAATATTAAAATATTAATATGTAGTATATATTTTTTAAATGAGCTTCATAATGTTTTAACATTCCATAATTTAAATTTTAATTTTAAACTAAATGCAATTTTCATTACGTTCATTAAAAAATTGTAAAGTACTTATTATTTTAAGTGTGATGATGATTCAATATTTTATTACAATATTATTTCCTTTAATTTGTTTTTATTATTTTAATTATCTACGGATGCATTTTTAAATTAAATAAGGGTTATAATAAACACATAGATACAAACATAATGGAACTAGAAAGATATAAAGTGACTATAAATATTTCTATTTAATACTAATAGGAAAAAAAAATATTATGATGATTGTATGGTTTTGAATTGGATATTAGATAAATTAATATTTAAATATTTAAAATTTGTTTTACTTTTGTTTTAAAACATTCTTTTTCAATTCATTTTGTAATATTCACAAACAGCATAATTTAATTATTTTCTCTACCATTCATTTAAAAGTCTACTATTCATTTAAAAGTCTACTATTCATTTAATAGTCTACTAGTCATTTAATTTTTAATTTTAGTAATACTCAAAAACTTGTAAAAGTGTTTTTATTAATGTTACAATTTTCTTTAAATTATAAATTAAATTTGTTTTGTTTTTGTTTACATTTAATGCGTTAAAATATTTTTAATATCTATATAAATAACTTTGATTAAATTTTCCTTTTGATTACTTAAAGGTGAAAAAAAAATTTCATTTGTTTATAAATTTTTTTTTTGTAAATACGCAATATGAATTAGTTTTAAAGTTGTTAAAATATCAAAGATTAAGATTTCGGAAATATTAAAAAAATTATTAAATTTATTTACTTTCATTATATCTTTGAATTCTAATAAATCATTTATAATTTCTTTTATTGATACGGAAACGAAATTTTAAAGCTACTAAAAATTATTATAAACATTTAAATAACAGAAGTATTGAAGTTAAAAACATTTTATTTTCAAATATTTTCAGTATAACCTTTTATTTTAAACATATCAAAGAATTCCGTTTCTTTATTTCAATTTTTTCTAATTATGCAAGCTGAACTTATTTTAAAATTACTAAAAGAAGGTTAGAAATATTGAAATAGCAAAAATATTAAAACTATAAATATTTCGTTTTTAAATCATCAAATCGATTTAATATTAAAGATTGCTAAAAGCATCAAACACATCTAAGCCAAAAATATTAAATTTAAATTAACTGCAATTATTTATATCATTAGATTATAAATATATGGAAAGATTTCATTATAATTTTTTTCTGAATTATCTTAATTTTAAAGTTACTAAATATTATTTAAAGCATTAAAATGGCAAAAAAATTATATTAAAAAAATTTGCTAAAGTCAATTTTCTTGGATTCTATGTAAAAAAATTCTTCTTGCTTTTAGTTCTATTTTTTTTTCCTTAAAACGAAAACCAAAAATAGTTTTTTAAATTATTAAAATTTGTTAAGGATTAAAATATTAAGAAAACATAGAAGTCAAAAATATTTAATTCAAATCAATTACCATCATTATAGCATTTAATTATAAAGACATTAAAATATTTTATACCTTTTTTTCTAAATGATCAAAAGGAATAACTTTTAAAGTTACTAAATATTCTTAAAAGCATTAAAATGGAAAAAATATTAATGTTACAAATATTTTGATTAAATTAATTATGTAGGAAATTACATACAAAAACATTTTATGTGTTTATTTCAATTCAAAAAATATTTTATCAAATTCAGTTACCTTCATTATAGCCTTGGATTCTACGTCTGCAGGTAAAATAATCAAAGCAGAAACCACAAATAAAACCGCCACCTCATATGATCCCATTGTTCTAAGATATGTATAAAAAACACGAGATAAAAATTGTTAAAAAGTCGCCAAAATCCCTCCTCTCTGATACCTTCCAAATCCGAATCTTGCAATTGACGAAAAACATCCACTTTTTATACTCCGGTTTTACACTTTCTTGTTGCGTTTTATTTTTTTTTTGTTTTTTCCGCATCCTGAGGGAGTCTCTACGCATCACTATGGGAACGGGAGGTCCCGCAACACCCAATAGGGATTTTTCCATGCATCGCCAATATATCGCCAACGCGAAACACATAATTTTTATCAATGAAAATGGGAAAAATGGAAGGAAAAAAATCCCTATTATATGATAATGATTGTAAAAATCTAATCATAAAACCAGAATTTGAATGAATTTCATTTCTTTGTAGTTTGAATTATTTGAGGTTTTGTCATTTTTACGTAAAATACGTTTCGTTCGATACATTGTGAGAGTGAAAATATATATTTCTCTAATGGGGTAATTCTCCCTTTAGAGAACATTAGAGCAATGGTTCCCAACTTTTCGGCTGTGGAACGTATCGTTCGATACATTGTGAGAGTGAAAATACATATTTCTCTAATGGGGTAATTCTCCCTTTAGAGACCATTAGAGTAGTGGTTCCCAACTTTTCGGCTGTGGAACCCTAAATGACTGATCATCTTCTGACGGAACCCCGAGACTTAATAGAAAAATGAAAATATTTAACTATTGAAATTTTATTATTTATTTGAAAAATATTTAATGAATTAATGAAAACTGAAATTTTTTCATAGTATCGTTTTATCAATACTATTATGTCAGACAGTTAAATTTACTGTTTGGAACCGTATATAATCTTCAAATTTAATTTTAGCGTACGTATAAATTGAAAATACATGAGCTGAAACTTTTTCGTTGAAATAACGACGAAAAAGGACGGAGATAACTATTGAAAATGGTTATCAGTTAGATATATTGCCTCATTGTTGAATTCGGTTATTTTTATTCCATGAATGCGCATGATCAAGAAATCAACATGGCAATTTATTTGAAAAAGTTGCAGACTCACGGAAAACTTCTTGCCAACTTTTCTATTCTCCAACTTTTCTATAGTTGTGAATAAGCATCGTATACTGCTCGTCAAAAAATAAATAATATAAAAATAAAAAGTAAATAAGTACAGGAAAATAAGAGGAAAAATTATTATTTTTTAAAAGTATACATTTACTTAACGTGTACAATAAAACATTATCATTTTATATTGTGATCAGTAATAATAATAATAAAGCAAAATTGTTTTAGAATTTTTATGAAAAGTTTAAGCCAATTTCGTTAAGGATTTTAATTTGACAGGGCTACATAGGGAAAAGTTACATTTTCTTAATGTTATTACAGTGCTTTTTTGAAATCCATATTTTGACTAGATTTTTTTATTTATTAATATTGTTTCGATCTTTGAATTACATCACAAATAATTATAATTACTAGGAGGCTTCGCCCCCTGCTCGCTGGCGCTCACCAACCCCCGGAACTGCTTTCGCAGTTCATTTCGATTGCTTCGCAATCCAATGCTCGCTTTGCTCGCTCATTGGATACGTTCTAAACGTCTAGTTGTTGTATACTTTTTTGAGTACTGAAGTTCCGAAAACTTTTCACTGTAGAAAATTCTAAACCTGTACATTTCAATATTAATTTGAAATTGCAAACAGTTCACATATTTTTTTTAATCACACTATTCTAAATTTCAGTTGTTGAGAAAAGTAACTGTTGTAAGTTTTGTTTTAAGTCTTTCCCACCAGAGGGCCAAAGCCATGTATGAAAGCCGGATGTAAAGCATCGGCTTTGATGAAGATAATTTTGTATTTTTAATTCTCTGAAGGGCGCCACCTTAATAATATGGAATTTGTAAAATAAATGTAGATATTTTGGATTGTTGATGAAGCCCATCATTTTGTGCTTTCATCAGTGCTCAGAAGCAGAACAACTATAAGTTTTTAATTTTATCACAAAAATATAAAATTTATAAAAAACAAAGAAAAGAGTAAGAAAATGAGTATAGTCATAGAAAAAGTTAAAATTATAATATAGTATTTGTCAGTTAAAATAAAACTTTTTGTTTAAGTCATTGCTAACAATTCAAATTTCTCCGAGGCAATTCTAAAGTATAAATTAAGGTAGTATTGTTAAGTTGAAACACAATATTTTTAGTTTTGATGTCAACAATACAATTCAATTTTTCACAAAAACGATTGTTTCCATTGTTAAGTTCAATGTCAACAATTCAAATTTTTCTGAGGCAACTCTTAACCTCTAAATATTATTTTTTTTATGTACACATTTCTAAATGTCAGTATTCAACCACAAAACAACTTAAAGTCCTCAAATTTAGCATGAAGTTGTAAAATGTAATGAAAGAGGGTCATAGCAATAATGAAAGTAGAAGTAAAGTTAGTACTGTAAAATTAAAACAATATTTTTAATCTATGAGCCAAGTTCTTCAAGAAGCAGTTGTAGAAGTAGGTTGTTTATTTAAAACTTTTTATAGAATTTCTTTAAGAACACAATTGTTAATTTGGGCATTTGGCGATACAACACTTTTAGAATTGAAGGATTTGTTACGTCAAGCGCTCAGGTATCATAATTTTGATCTAGTTGCGCTTCTATGTCATTTTGATTTATGTTGCTAAGTTAACTTTCAAAAAATTCTATGGCTGGCAACAGCATTTTTATTTTTTAAGTTGTTTATTTTTATTTCTTTTAGAATTCGTTATTTTTTTAGCGAAATGTTTTTTAACCTAACAGAATTCTTTGCCGACTGTTTTCTCTATGAATGAAGAAAATAAAGTAAATATTTAACTGTTGTGAAAAGAATCTTATTTAGTTGTACAAAGTACTTCAGCCAAAATTTGGGAGCCACGTAAGAGAATTATATATATTAGATCAGAAACACATCATTAAAAGGCAGAATGCTTTGGTGTTTTCAAAACAAAGCAAACGTTGCCACCGGCGGAAAAGAAATACAGCCAAAATTTGGGAGCCACGTAAGAGAATTATATATAATAGATATTAGGCTGATATAAAAATTTATTTAATGAAGCGTGAAATATTTTAAGTTTTAGAAATATTTTAGGAAACAAAAATTTAGCAATTAGCTGAATTTCCAACAACTAAGTATTATACTAATTACATACTAAGTGCAATACTTATTATACTAAGTACAATACTAAGTATTATTAGAAATCTAGAACCATGGTGGCTCAGAAGATAGAGCACTCGAATTCCAATGAGATGATCCGGGTTCAGCGATGGCTGGTCGATTCAAACTCCGCTTCCGGCTCGCACCGACCACAGTGATGACGTAAAATATCCTTAGTGGTAGACGGATCTAGGGTTAGAGTCCCTTTGCCGCCAGGCTAACCGCCGCCAGGCGTGGGAGGTTTTCCTCTCCATGTAACGCAATTGCCGGTTAGTTCAATCAAAGTCCTCCAAGAAGGCAAATTTCCCAAAATACTTGATCCAAGAGTTTCCTTGTCTTCTGGATTAGATTCAAAATTGCAAGGCTACGGAGTTGAACGTAAACTCAAAAATTGGGTCGGCTGTTCAACGACTGCTATAAAATAAAATTATGAATCTAAATAAATAATAAATTTTTTCGAATAAAAATGTTGGAAAATATGGCAAGAAACTAATCTTCAGGGTAATTAACTTCTTTATTCAAATAACAACACATAACAAAATAAAAAAACAATTTTGAGAAGTTTGAGGCATCAAACTTCGTTTGCTTGAACAATTGTTAAAAAAACAGTAACTTAATTCAAAAGACATATTAAATGGGATATGAGCCGATTCAAGGTCCCTTAAACGCATTTACCGATTCATCCTAGTATTATTCATAGATATAGATTTATCCTACCTTTCTTTTGAGATGGATGATACAAAGCAGGGACGCCACCAGGCGACTCAAAATATAAATAAGTGATAATTCCTAAGTAGCAAAAATCTGTTAACATATTGGATGCAGGCAACTCTTCCAAAAAAAAAAAATTTATTAATAGATGTCTTAGAGAATAAAATTTTAAAAAAAGTAGTCGGCAAGATTTCACAGAAGCTGGAGCAAACTGGTCTCTATAGCTACATCTTCAATTAAGAAAAGAAAAAAAAAAGAATTACGACGAACGATTGAAGTACTGATTACATATACACTCAATATTTTACTTTTGTGGTTAATCACAATTGGATAATTTCATTGAAAAACAGAGCGGCCATTGTAGAAATCTCAAAAACCTATTTTTACGTGCTATGTGTTACTACGCATTATAATTAGCAACTTCTGTCACTGTTTTTACAATCTCCAATTAAATGAGAAGGTAAAAGTTTTCTTTTTAAATATGAATAATTTGCAATATAAATCATTGTCATTACGATTGAATAATTAAATAAAAAAAAGATGAACTCTACCACTTCTTATAATTTTAGTCACCTGTGGCATAGCTGTACAAAGGACCTCAAATGCACAAATTAAAATGTATGATGAAAAGCATTAGTTTTAGAATGGACGCATATCAGAATATTTCCCAATTGTTCTGGGATTTCCTCTTTTGATTTTAGTTTTATATTTTTCGATTTTTTTTTATTAATTTGAGGCGGTCGCAGACCTGTCAACTTTACTTTTTCCGAGTAGGTATTTCCCAAGTGGTAGTGAAAGGCTATTTGAAATACAATTGTTGATAAAATTAACTTTTCACAATTGTTACGGATTACACTCATTTTCGTTTCTGTAACTTGCTTTTATGTATGAGATCGAATTATTTGCATTTAGTTGTCGAGAAAATGATATTAAATTAAATTTATGAGAATTAAAAAGAAATTAGATTCATTATCACTTTAAATAAAAAAATGAAGTACTACGCACAACCCGTAGCTTTTGACAGCAGTGTGGTAACCAAACTTACATTACTGTTTTTAAATTTCATTCAGGGCCGATAATTATCCGAGTATGAGCAAAACATTTTTACCTTCTTTTTTTTTTTCGAAAAAGTATTTTTTCATAAATACCATATCTTTTTCTTAATTAAATTTTATAAATTTACTTATGAAAAATTTGATGTTTATCACAACATTAAATAGGTAATAAATGACTTACACAATTTAACTGTTTCTAATGTAAGGAAGA